CAGTAATCTCCTCAACGTTGATAGTCTCTTTCCCATATGTAAGAGTAGTCACCATGTGTTCGTAAGAGGGAGGCAACGAACACAACAGAATCATCGCTCTGTCTTCATCCTCAATTATCACATCAAGCCGAGCCAGATCAGAAACGATTTGATTGAAGACATTCACGTGTTGCACCAAATCATGATCGTCCTGTATCTTCAGCCCATACAGCCACTGCTTTAGATACAGTTTTGTCGTTAAGGATTTGGACATAAACTGACTTTCCAACTTCCTCTAAATTTCGTCTGGAGACGACAGATGCATGACGTGATACATGACCTCGTCTGCCAAGCATAATCGTATGGTTCCTGCCACTCGCTGTTGTAATTCTTCCCAATCTTCCTCATCCATCGACGCCGACTTTGTAGGTCACAAAGCCTTCAGGATCCCTTGCTAAGCCAACAGATCCTTCACCCTCGTTTTCCATAATCCGAAGTTACCCTGACCATCGAATTTCACAACTTTGAATTTTACTCCTGACATCTGATACCAATTGTTGACGAAACGGGTAAAGAAAACGAAAGAACACAAGAATTTTTAACGAGGTTCGGCAATGTGCTTACGTCCTCGGTGCCTAGACGGCGCTAGAAGTTTTATTCAATTCAATGTCTCATAGGTTTAGGTTACATCTCTATTTATAATAAAAAACCTGGTACATAATTACATAATTAACCATGTACCGTACTGCGGGGCCGTAGCCCCCACAGCCCCAACCCACATAATCGTAACCCCCACTATGAGACTTTCCTTACAAATAAAAGATATCTTGCCATACCTAACACGAGTCGAGTCAAAAAATTTCAAATTATTCAAGTTGATGAGTCATATTTTACAACTAGAACTTAACTTGAAATTTTCTCGAGTCTAGTCGAGTTTAAGAAATCGAGTCGAGTTATTCGAATCAAGTTATTTGAGTTTCTATACTAATTTTATTATAATTATTTATAGTATTATGGCAAGAATTTGTTTCAATTTTCGACTTTCTCTAACCATATAAGATAGATATATATATTATTCTTTTCACATTATAATGTTATTTAATATATAAATACAATCTAAAATTATAAAATATATTCATAATATTATATTTCAAAGAAATTATTTTGGGGGTAAAATATTAATGAGAGTATAAAGGAGTCAAATAATTGATGGAAATAAAGAATTTGCAAACAATTGTAGTCAAAAGACCAATATGAGAAAAATTCAAAGTTAAGGGACTAAATAAAAAGAGAGAGAATGCATTTTTAGTAAAAAAGTATAAATTAAAGTTAATAGGTATTCTATTGTGGTATATGAGCATGTGGTTCAAATTTGGTAAAAAAAGAACTTTAAATAAAGGACTAAATGAATAAATAAGGAAATTATGAAAAATGTTGAACTAAATTGAAAATAGAAAATTTATTATCAAAAAAGAGGAATTGAAAGTATATATGTATTCTACGATGTTTTAGGAGCTTCTTGTTCAAATTTCATAAAAATGGACTTAAAATGAAAAAAGAATTGAAAAAAATAATGAAATTAGGGAGTATATTGTAAAACAATCAAAATACTTAGTCAAATTTTCATTTTTTTTGAGTAACTCAAAATTTCCAAATTTTAACTCGACTCAAATTTGAAAACCAAATTGATAATTCGAGTTGACTCAATAACTCGAAATTGAAAAAATATCAATTTTTCGAGTCAAGTTGAGTTTTGCTCACCCTTAAATGACGTGACACTTAACTTCTGTTAACCCCTTCTTCTTCTTATTCTTCTTCTTTTTCTCTCTCACACATAAAATAACTTCCATTCAACCCATCTCCGATCAGCGGTGGCTCACTATAACACCCACATACCAAAGCGGGTGACTCAACCGATCTGAGGTGTCACATTAGGGCCACCGGAGCGACCCACAGTAAAAATCCAGTGAAAATTTAAAATTTATGTTAAAACATATAAAATCATAAAATAATTTATAAATAAAATACCAGTTCATAAAACCATTCATTTATGACAAACATAATTAAAATCATTCAAGTTCATACTCATTATAAAAATCAAATGTGACAAACATGCACCCTAATTACACTTGTATCGTACTCTTCATCCCAAGCCAAAGGAACTCCCATTATAGATGTCGATAGTTGCACCGGATCAATTCTTTTAACCTAAAATGGAGAGTAAAAAAGTGAGCTTTGGGAAGCTCAGTAATACAGAACTACCAAGTGATGCTGAAGGATATGCAGATAATAGGCAAACATAAAAATTTCCTTATCGATTCAGACGTCTATAGGTTTTCGGGGTGAGCTAAGGTTCCACTGATATTTCTTCGGGTAAAAGACATGCTTTTATTTCAGAGGAAACATTCAAAGGACCAAGTTTTCAGGAGATTGGAATAGGATGTCTAGTTTGTTCCAACAAAATAGAGTATAATATATAGATCCTTTAAAAATGATAGTGGTTTAAAACATATTTTAAAATAATAGTACTGCCCTCCAACTGAACACCTTTATACAGTTTCCCCATAACTTCATCCATAAGGACTTGCCATAAGCACACAGCAAAGGAGCCACCCTAAGGGAATACCTTGGGGTCTATGGGCCTATCTAAGGGTCTTTTCATGTCCGTAAGGAATTACAAGCTTGATCAGAGCTGAACCTCCATACTCTAGAATCCTACCTATACAGTATCCAGTAGAAATCATATGTAACATTAAAAAGTAATATCATGATCGTGATCCAGTAAAATCTCGTAAGAGTGACAATAGAATAAACCATATAACTACCCTCCATACGTACACCATATACAATCTCATGATTTACCCAAGAAAGTGCCTTGGGGCCTAAGAGCCTACCCAATAAAGTTTCTCGGGGCCTTAGAGCCTACCCAATGGTCACCTTAGGTCTGTAAGGAATTACCAGTTTGATCAGAGTTGAACCTCCATACTCTAGCCTACCCAGATAATGTCCCAAAAAAATAGTTCAAGTAGTAACCAGTAGCTCCCATGATCCATGAATCAGGAACGATTATATTTTCCAGTGAAAACGGTAATCAGAGAACAAATACCATGTAGTCATGGTTCATAAGCCAGTAAATCAGTAAATCATAAATTTTGGTGAAACATATTTCAAAACAGATAAAACAATCATGTAGTACATAGGGAACACACTAGAGGATTCAATTATTTTCGAGAGGTACTTAGAATTTATCAAGTGGGAACCAGGAAACTTCTATAATTTAATAGGATTTCAGAATCAAGATTCTTATAAAAAGGGGCTTGATATCTAACAGAGTCATTAGTCATTTATGAAGTGATCTATCAAGATCATATAGTATTCAAATATTTTTCGGAGGCACTAAGCAATCATGAAGGTACTCAGAATCTTTTGCATCAGAGTTTGATAACTCCGTAAAAAGACTCAATTTCTAATCTTTTCACTTAAGTTATTGCTCGTCTAAACAAAGTACGCACATCATTTTAGTTGCATTTAGTTGCAAATAGGTTATGTTAGCTTGTGCTGGATAAGTTTTGCTTCGGCAAGATTTATTTGGTTTAACTGATATTGCTGAGGAGAAAGAGTTGTGTGGATTGTGTTTGTGCATGAAACTTACAGAGGAAGAACATTTTATTCGTGACAACGTAATTTGTAAGGGACAATGGAACAGATAAGAACGTGAGGAGCAGATTTATCTCGCCGAGGCAAGGTTTATCTAAGGAGTCTGAAGCGGGTATGACGAAACCGCCTATGTCACACGCCAGCTGGATGACCTACTTCACGTGCAAGCAAGCCTCAATTATTCTGAAAGTCGTCTTTCCTTTTTAAAGCTGGGCAGATAACAACGGTTATTTAAGGAATCTCCAAATTATGCAAAGCCCTAGGAGATTCTTCCCTATAAATAACCAGCCGTAGCCGCCAAAAAAAGGAGGCAAGGAAGAAGAGAAAAGAGCTTTACTTAAGGTGTGAGCAAGCAACTGCAGTGCTTTCCCACCGTTTACCAACCAACCTTCCTTGGTGTCCTCCATAGCCAGGCTATAGTAGAGCGGTGATCAGGTCTCGAGAAAGGCTGATCACTAAGGCAGGCGCGGTACTGATCAGAATTGTCGTGATAGAGCCCCCGATTTTGGGAGTCGTTCTTCCTTTGTTCTTAATCTCTTTATATATTTGGGGTTGTATTAAACGATGATACTTGAATGAATTTTTGATAGCACCATGACTGTCTTACTTGGTGTTAAACTTTGTTTTGCCTAAACAATTATTTCCTGAGTTATGAATGATGAATTATGTTTTTGCTCATGACTGTTTTGTTCATTGTTTGAATAATTTTCCTTGACATTGTAAGAGCATCGAGAGATCACCTGGGGTTTTGGGAAAACATGTCTTGGCAATGTAAAAGCATCGAGAGATCGCCTTTTGTCTATATAGTGATTCTTAGATTCGAGAGAATTAAGATAGATCTACATGAACAATAGAATGAATCCGGGATGGTGAAGTTCTAACTTGTCTACCTTAGAGATAAGGAGTGGGTTTCAATTGACTAAAAAGGATAGACGCTAGAGTAGGATAGACAACGCCTATAGTTCACGCTGAGAGGAATTGCTACGATAATAGTCTGACAAACCAAGGGTTGTAGTTAACGCTGAGGAGTATTGTCATAGCAACCGTCTAAGAATACCTAGTAATCCTGTAGGGCAGCTTAAGCAAGTCATAATAATTCATTCTAGACTTAGAGTAATTGTTGTCAATACAAAAGTTTAGCATAAGTGCTCTGTGATAAGTCTGAATATGTGAGGTTGTTTGCATTATATTTAAATCAACACTGGTCTTTGTTTTATTTTATTTCAGCATTCTGCATATTTATTTTTCCTCAACCAAACTTTTCTGCAATCATTATATCACTTTCTTGTTTTATTAATATTAGTTTTTAAGTTGACAATCTAGTAGGAATTAATTCGTGACAGCTAGTTCTAGTTGTGGTAAAGATAAATTTCTCGAGCAATCCTTGAAGAGACAATAACTCACTTACCTTATATTACTTGATTCGATTGTGTATACTTGCACAGAATTGCTTTCCTTAGCATATATATATTTACAAGCGATCAAGTTTTTGGTGCCGTTGCCGGGGATTGGTAGCTGACGAAATTTTTATTCGCCATAACAAGTTTTTTTGTTGTCACCTTATATTTTTATAGTCTAACGTAGTTTACTATTTTCTTTTGTAGGTTTTTATTATTGCATGACCTTGAGATCTTCTGGTAAACCTTTGGAACCATTCGACCCTGAAGTTGAGCAATCGTTTAGACAAAGGTTACATGCCCAAAGAACCAGAGAACATTTAAACCAACTTAAAATGCAAGACATCATGGGAGACCTAGGAGATCCTGATGCATCAATTAATCTTCAAGTTGCAATACCAAGAGCGATACGAGATCATTTGAACCCAATTCTCGATGACCTCAATCTAGGCATAGTGGCACCTGAAATACAAGCAACTCATTTCGAACTTAAACCGATGATGTTTAATATGTTAAACTCTATTGGCCAATTCGGTGGTTCACCCAATGAGGAAACTAGACATCATATTCGTGCTTTCCTTGAAGTATGCGATTCATTTCGACAACAAGGAGTACATGAAGATGTGCTTAAACTAAACCTTTCCCTTACTCCCTACGCGATAGAGTAAGAGTCTAGCTCAGCGGAGTTCCTTCCGGCTCAATGGAGTCATGGGCAGACTTGTGCAAGAGTTTCTTACTTCGATATAATCCGTCCAATATGAATACACAGCTTCGCAATGACATTGCAAGTTTTCGCCAAGGACATGATGAATCAATGTACGAATGTTGGGATAGGTACAAAAGTATACTTCACAAATGTGTCAACCATGGATTTTATGACTGGACGCAAGTGGTGATGTTTTACAATAGAGTTAATGTGTCAACTCGAATGATGTTAGATACCTCAGCAAATGGCACCTTACTGGACAAATCTCCCGAGGAAGCCTTTGACATCCTCGACAGGATAGCAAATAATGATTATCAATTCCCAAATACAAGATTGGGAACATGCAGAAAAATATCTGGAGCATATGAATTAGAGGGTAAGGATTCGGTAGCTGCCCAACTTTCTAACATAACTAATATGTTAAAAAATTTGCAACGTCCTAATGAGGTAAGAGAAGTCAAGCTAACCAATAACATATTGCATATTTTGTCACGGAAACCATCATGAGAGTGAATGTTTGGAAAACCATGAGTCAACCAATTTTGTGGGCAACTATAATCGGAGCAATAATAACCCCTATTCAAACACGTACAATCCTGGTTGGAGACATCACCCAAATTTTTCATGGAGTAATCAAGGGAACATCAACAATCAAGCAGCAAATTACAGGCCACAACAAAATAATTCTGACCATCAACACTTTCAGAATCAACATCAGCAGCAGCCCTGGCAAAATAATAAAGGTATAACTTCTTCCTCTAATACTAATTCCTTGGAGTTATCATTACAGGAATTTATGGCCTCGACGAAAGATTTCATGGCCTCCACAAAAACCTTGATGCACGAACATTCTGTAATAATTAAAAATCAAGGAAATTTGTTACAAAGCCAATCAACACTTTTGCAAAGCCATAGTTCATCTCTAAGAGCATTAGAGAATCAAGTGAAACAAATTGATACGACATTACATTCTCACCCACAAGGAAATCTCCCAAGTGATAAAGAGATCACTAAACATCATGGGAAGGAGCAATGCAGTGTACTTACACTAAGGAGTGGAAAACAGGTCAACCAAAATGACAAGTTTTAGGGAGAACACCTAAACAGTCCTCGCCATGGCATAACACAACCAGAGGATCGAGCTGAAAATGATGAACAAGATGAAATGCCTAAAGAGAATGAAAGGAATGAAGGCTCATAAAAACATCGTTCAAACAATGAGAAATTCATGGCCAAGGCCAAAGATTTCTCAGCACTAACAACAGATGATATGAGACCTCCACCACCGTTCCCTCAACGATTGAAGAAGCATAATGATGACATCCAGTTCAAAAAAATGCCTTCCTATGCCAAGTTTCTTAAGGACATCTTTACAAAGAAAATGAAGGTAGAACATGTTGCCACGATAATAGAAATCTTTTCGGGAGTAAGCAAACTCCCACCAAAACAAAAAGACCCTGGCAGTTTTATAATACCATGTTCAATTGGTAATGACTTTGTAGGACGAGCTCTCATTGATTTGGGATCAAGTGTAAACTTGATACCAAAGTCTATATTTATTAAACTAGAAGGGTATCACGTCTGTCTAACCTCATTCATCCTACAGCTAGCCGATCGGTCTTATGTGCGGCCCGAGGGCATAATAGAATACATTATAGTAAAGGTGGAAAAATTCGTATTTCCAGTTGAATTTCTTAGCCGATCGGTCTTCGATTGCGAAGCCGATGAAAACGCACCGATCATTCTAGGACAACCCTTCTTAGCCACTGGGAGAATCCGAATATATTATGAAAAGAGAGAGTTCACAATGCGAGTAGGAGAACAAAGCGTTACCATCAATGTATTCAACTCCATAAAATATGTGGACGACTCAGAGGAATGCCAATGCATTAGAGAAGTAGAGGAAAAAACAATCCTTGGACGCTATGAATCTCTAAGGCTTGACGAATACAGCGCTTTGTACCATGACCCTACAACCGAGATACACAAACAAGACAATTTTGGCCCAGGCAAATTATTTTCAGAAGACGATACTGAGAATTATGGCCCTGACAACAGAAATCTGAATAATGAGTGCCCTGAAAATGACACCAATACAGGATACGGAGAAAATACAAAGGATCAACCGAGGCTTCTTCATAATAAATCAGGTATAAAATTCGAACCCTTACATTATGATGAAGTTAACTCTCCAGAGTCATCTTTACAACATGCACCAAAATTGGAGCTTAAAACTTTGCCATCACATTTGAAGTATGCATACCTAGGAATTGACGAAACTTTACATGTAATAATCTCTGCCAATCTAACCTCTGAACAGGAGAATAGTTTGTTGAATGTTTTTTCTCAACACAAAAAGGCTTTCGGATGGACAATGGCAGACTTGAAGGGAATCAATCCGACCATATGCATGTACAAAATCAACCTAGAAGATAGCCATAGCACTTCAGTGAAACCCCAAAAAAGTCTCAACCCAATCATGAAGAAGGTAGTCATGAAGGAAATTATAAAATGGTTGGATGCGGGAGTGATTTATCCTATATCTGATAATTCATGGGTCAGCCCGGTGCAATGTGTACCAAAGAAGAGTGGTGTGACCGTGGTTAAAAGCGAACATGATGAACTCCTCACCACGAGAATAGTCACGGGCTGGTGCATATGCATGGATTACAGGAAGCTTAATAAAGCCACAAAGAAAGATCATTTTCCCCTCCCTTTTATCGACCAAATGTTTGATAGATTAGCGAGAAAAGCATTTTATTGCTTCCTCGATGGATACTCCGGATATAATCAAATAGACATAGCACCAGAGGATCAAGATAAAACTACTTTCACATGCCCATATGGTACCTATGCATTTAGATGAATGACGTTTGGGTTGTGTGATGATTTTGACCGATGTCTCGGCAATCTATCTAAGGTACTGAAATGATGTGAAGAAACCAACCTAGTACTGAATTGGGAGAAATGTCATTTTATGGTGACCGAGGGAATAGTGTTGGGTCACAAAATTTCATGCAGAGGCATTGAAGTCGATAAAGCCAAGGTGGACGTAATTGCAAATCTTCCCCCGCCCACCAACGTGAGAGGTGTACGCAGTTTCCTTGGACATACAAGCTTCTACAAGCGGTTCATAAAAGATTTTTCTCAAATCTCTAAACCCTTGTGTTTTTTGCTTCAACAAAATCATTCATTTGAATTTACTAATGATTGTTTGAATGCCTTTACAGATTTGAAGAATAAACTTTCGGCAGCACCAATCGTTATCCCATCAGACTGGAACGAACCTTTTGAGCTCATGTGTGATGCTAGTGATTATGCAATCGGAGTGGTCCTAGGGCAACGAAAAAGTAAAATCTTTCATGTTATCTACTATGCAAGCTGTACTCTTAATGATGCACAAGTAAACTATACCACCACTGAAAAAGAACTCTTAGCAATAATATTTGCATTCGATAAGTTTAGGTCATATCTAATGGGCACTAAGGTAATTGTGCATACAAATCATTATGCCATTAAATATTTGATCAATAAAAAAGATGCAAAGCCTAGGCTAATTCAATGGATATTATTACTACAAGAGTTCAATTTAGAGATCAAGGATAGAAAGGGTACAGAAAATCAAGTGGCAGACCATTTGTCTAGGCTAGATAACAAATCTGATTGTCCTGACATAACAGAAATTCAAAAGGATTTCCCTGATGAGAAAATATTATTTGTCACGGTTGCGCCGTGGTATGCTGACATAGTTAACTTTCTTGTTAGTGGTATTGTTCCTCCAGATTTATCTAGCCAGGGCCGAAAGAAGTTTCGACATGATGTGCAAAATTACTTCTGGGATGAACCGTTTCTATTCAAGCAATGTGGAGACCAAATAATCCGAAGATGCATTCCAGGAGAAGAGCAAAAAGATATTATACACCATTGTCACTCGTCACCATATGGAGGACATTTCTGTGGAATAAGAACAACGGCGAAAGTGCTTCAGTCTGGATTCTATTGGCCAACCTTGTTCAAAGATGCGCATGAATTCTATAAGTCATGTGATAGATGCCAACGAACAAGAAACATATCAAAACGGCATGAGATGCCGTGGAAAAATATTCTGGAGATTAAACTTTTCGACGTATGGGGAATAGACTTTATGAGACCTTTTCCCACATCATTTGGAGATTTGTACATTCTCTTGATAATAGACTATGTATCCAAATGGGTTGAAGCCATCGCAACACCTAAAAATGATTCCAAGACAATGTTAACATTTTTGC